TATGCAGGGGGTCGGACTCGATGATCTATTGAGGTCCCTTCCGACCCTAACATCTATGAATCTATGAGATGGTTAGGATGAGGGAGAGGAAGAAGCACAAAAGACCCAGCGCAGTCTCCTTTTTCATTGCCACGGTGGTGGCTGAGCATTCATTGCAGCGTTAGGACATGATGACAATGTTTCAGCAGTAAAGTTATTTACAAGGTGCTAATGACAAATTACTTATTCAGAGGGCTTGTCCCAAAAGTCTCGTAGTTCAGTAATAAGGTTAAATGATTTTGAAAGGAACTAGGAAAAATAACAAGAGAATCGATATCTTTTTCTGCTTGGAGAAGTGGTGAGAGATTTCTAGCAGCAAATGAGGCACCGATTCAAATGAGAAACGTAGTAAAAGCTTACCACTGAAATTAAAAGAAAATAGAGATTGCTAAGTGAGGGGGTTCAAACGCCAATGGTGTAAACAAGTAGCTGGCATAACATTTTGCATTTGCCCTGTACCCAGACTTTTAGCTATCATTTATGAAACTAAATAAATAGAGGTGTCAACAAGGTGAGGGAAATTAAGTGATAAAGCATAGGCAAGAAAGGAAAGATGGTCACTGTTAGAGAAGCAGGACCAGAGAGAGAAGGCAGCTGTAAAGGAAGTTGCAGAATGAAGGGTGCTTCTGGGTGTCAGGGTTTTGCACAAGACCTGCTGCCACCGTTTCTATGCTTTTGTGATCTATATTGGCTGAATTATTTACATTAAATAGACATGAGGATGGAAAGTGGCCTTTTCACTTAGGCCGTCGGCATGCTAAATAAATGGGCAACAAGCCACATGGAATTTTTGCCTTCTGATTTCCAGTAGTTTTGATCCGATTCTTTACCTCTCCTTCTTTCTACAGGTGAACGGAAAGGATTTATCCAAAGCAACGCACGAGCAGGCAGTGGAAGCCTTCAAAACGGCGAAGGAGCCCATCGTGGTACAGGTCCTGAGGAGAACGCCACGCACCAAGATCTTCAGCTCTTCTCATGAGTCTCAGCTGGTCAACATGGGCACTCAGACTGATATCACCTTTGAACACATCATGGCTCTCACCAAGATGGGATCCCCTACTCCACCAGTCTCGGTGTTAGATCCATACCTCTTACCAGAAGAGTAAGTAGCAATTTTCATACAACATGCGCAAAGCCCTGTTTCACCTGGCTTAACACGTGAAAGATAGGATGGAGACCCCCTCGCACAAACCAGCAACCCTTCCTCCATCAGGAGTCCTCACTGAGCTCACCATAATTCATACGAGCAAATCGTACTATTCCAGTACATTAGTGAATCACATGACTAATCCCACTGAGGGCCCCCCGGCCCTATGCAACTCCTTTTCCGTTGTCGTTCTAAATGTAAAGCTAATGTTTCTTGTAAAGTTCCTTCACTACCTCTTTGGGTTGCTTATGTTTGAACTATATTTTTTATGGCTGCCATAAATTGCATACTGCTAAGAGCCGCTACATTCTGTTCCAGCGTATTAATTACTTTATTATAACCCCACAGCAAAGTTACTTAAATAAATTATTTTCTTGGACTGAAATGACTTAGCAGTGCTGTCAAAGACATTTTTAGAATCAAATGTTAATTATTGTTAATGGTCGGTTGATGCTTTTGTACTTACAAGTAAGAATGACAGTTATCTTCTTGCACACACGGTTCCCACCCTGAATATGCTGGGGAAAAATAGGCCCTCATAAAATCCATGCAAATTGCCTCTATCCTCTCACCGTATCAGCTTCCATGAAGCACAGAAAATGATGGAAAAGCTTGTTAACTACATTGCCAACTAGGTTCTAGTGTGTCCACAGCACATAGCTGTTAAATGAGGCAATATGCACACACACACACATACATATATATGTATATATATACACAGACATACATACACAGACATACATACACACACGCATCAGTATTACACCGGTGTTACAAGGTTTTGAGTCTGATTCCTTAGCTTTTATAACATGAAAATTTAGAGCACAGATTCATATATATCACCTCATTTAACAGTTATGTGCTCTTAAATATCTATAGCTCTATATAGTTAGATATAGATATATGGAGAAAAACAGTGTTAATAAACACCCACATTCTGGCTGGCGATGAATCAGAATTCTTTTGAGCGCTCTGAATAGTGGACCTAGCAAGACTAAGGTGGCTTTGAGCATAAACAGCAGACACCTCCCACTGTGCCCTTCCCAGACTCTTTTCATAGAGACCCAGTAGAGTAGACAGCCAGGACAGAAATGGCCATCAATACCGTGCAACTCCTTGTGGGTTTTATAGCATGTGAATATGCGAAAATTGAACCAGAAATTGGTCCTATTCTACAACTGCAAATGTTTCACTCTTTGCATGACAGAAGAACTTTTACTATTAAATGTTTGAAAAGAGGGTTCAATTAGGATGTCACTGCATCACCTCCTAACAATAAGTATTGTTCCCAGTCCCTTGACAGGTCAAGAATGCATTTTAGTACTGCAGCGAGGGCTAGGTTTGAGCTCTCTGACAGCAAACAAGCAGCTAGGCTCAGAACACTGTGACTTGATGCTCATTAATTTTAACTGAGCAAGATTATATTCCTTAGAAATATCTCCAGGGAGATGATGTTAAATGTCATTACAGCCTCTGAAGAGACACCTATTTGCTTTCCCAGATGCAAGATCAAATACCATGATACAACAGGGCTATGAACTTACCAAGAGGAACTCATGAGAAAAGTAATTACAAGTGTACATACAGTCTAGCTTTACAGTATGACCTAACAGTACCCCTTAAATATTAGGTATTAAACATAACTGTGGACATCATCACTATCTTGTGTTTGCGCTACCTTATGTTTCCTTCACTGTGCCTGTAAAAGTAATATTCAGGCATAAAAGGGCAGGATATGTAGATACCTCCATCTCCAGGCCTATGCGTGCAAATAAAAAAATCACTGTACTTGCTGATGGTGAGCACACGTGTTTTTTTCCATGGCACAATCAATGTAAAAACAAACCTCTCATGTTTATCTTCTCTTATGCCCAGTTCCAAAGTTTACTGAAGTCAATATGACCTTTAAAGGACAACTCAGACCTAAAGGAAAATTAGATGTTTTTACTTAAGGAGCCTCTCATTCACACGGACACGTGCATCTAGTTAAGAAGGAAGCAAATGGAGTGTCACTTCGATCTTAAAAGTAAATAAGGTTGCTGCATATGCTACATATGATCACCAAAGAAGTATAATGCTGAAAGTCCCAAAAATGCAAGCAGTTAAGCAGTCTGATAAGAGGTGGAATTTAAAAACAAAATGCCAGTAATGATTGGAAATTTAAATAGAGTGGAGTGTGTTTAAATTGCTAATCGTTAAATACACCCCATTGTGTTTAAATTGCCAATCAGTAATAGTTTATGGTTTTTAAACTTAAATTATTGGGAACCAAATACAAAATACAATGCTTAGCAACTGAATCATATTTTATATGTTCAGAAACAATTATGAATATCAACGAGGCAGTAAAGGAAATTTAATTGTGCACACCTGGGCTGCACAAATGAAACCAAGTCTGGTGTTCTGCCCCTACTCCCTTGTGAATGTCTCTCCATGTCACAAACCCGTGGTACCTCACAACTGAGAGCAGTGGGAGGTCTGTGTTTAGCTGAAACCATTAGAGGTGTTGCAAGCACCTCTGGGATTCTTGGCTGTAGCCATTTTGTCTCTTCGCTTGTGTTACCTTCCTTTGTCCCCCTCTCCCGCTGTTCTGATGCAAAATTGTCAAAATCCTGATCTCCATAATCTCAAGCACAACGCATTGCATCTTCCCCTCCCACTGCGGATATCTAATTCCTTCTTGGTGGGTGCATCTGCACGCGTGCTTTACTGCGGTGCTAACTAATTAGCCTCACAGTCAAATGCCACCATCTTCACATGCACCCGTATTAAGGAGCAGTAAATTAGTTTACTCTGCTGTCGGATAGTACTGTCCGGGACAAGCGGACTAGTTACATGGGCAGAAACGCAGGTGTAGACAGTGACTGGGGCTGGCTGGGGCACAAGGTTGCTGTCGTGTGGTGGATGCCTGCTACCTAGCCCTGCACTGTAGCACCCTTGTGCCCCAGCCAGCTCCACCGCAGCATGCTGAGCCAGGACAGAGCAGCTTTGACCCCCCGGGCGCCCTGCCACACGGGGTGCTCTGACCTGGCCCAATGTGCTGCAGTCCCGGGTGCATGTGTAAATGCTGCGCCTGGGAGCAATAAACTCCAGCATGAACTGTGCCGGAGTTTATTGCCACATGACAATTACACTTATAGACGCACCAAGAGAGACTCGCTGTGATACCCCAAGCAAGCTACTTAAGGGCAGTTTCCAAAAATTACTTGTATCTCTAAACAGCTTTTTCAATCTGGCGCTTAACCTCCCTGTGTACTAGTTAGCCCCTTTCCAAAGTGGGAGTGTAACTATCCACCTCTTGCAATTATTGAGTGGCTAAATCTGTGAATACACTTGGAGCATTTCTGGTAATCCACAGAAAGGTGCAACTTCAACGTGATGTGCTATGGGCACTCTAAGAGGTGCTCAGTAAAATTCAGACAACGCTTTATAACCCTAAGTTTTTATTGAGGAATTCAAAAGAACCATTTAGGCCTACATGCTGTCTATCTCCAAGCGGAGCAAGGGTTTCAGTAGTTAGACAGCTTCTCCCAGGCTGTGCTGGGCCCTTTACCCTCCTCACAAATTCCTGTTTGTTTAGGAGGTTGGTTTCACACCAGAAAAAATTGCAAATGTTAAATGCAGTAATAAAACATGTTAAAGAGGCTTTTACTTCTGTCTTATGTTTTCCACGCTTAAGGGCGCAAGACAGTTTCTATAATTTTATTGTGCCGGTGTAGTGTGTTTATTTTCATAAACCGCGCACCATGGATTACACACAAACTAGTTGGTCTGGTCCTGTTGCAAGTCTGTCATATTAATGATGACCTGCCACACAACTAGGATGGATTAGTATGCTAATCAGAACAGGGATTGAGATCCTAAAGTATACTTTGTTTTTCCAGCCATTCATCAGTGCATGAATTCTACGACCCGAATGACTACATGGGAGGTATTCATCAAGAAATGGACAGAGAGGAGTTGGAATTAGAGGTACTTAATAAGTATAAATCATGGTTTAAAATACACCTGGTTTAATATATTTTAATGCGTCGTAGACATAACATTTGGTATCAAATTACAATTGTACGTGTATATCAAGACGTTTTTAAATAATTATGCACGACAACGTTGCTCTCTGGTTATTTTGCAGACAGCAATAATTAATGCTAATATAATTAACAGTGTATGTAATTGTATGTCATGTAATTACGAGCCAGATCCTCAGCTGATAGAGACTGGCATAGCTCCATTGATTGAAGTGGAACTATGCTGTTTTACGCCAGCTGGGATTCCGGCTTCCTGCAATTACAGATTTAATTACAGAACGTGAAAAATCATATTACTTTGTGGGCGGTGGGACAAGTGCCACAAGTTTGTAGTAGACAATTTAAGAATTTCAGTACTTCAAATGGTTTAACTCTTCCCGCCCCCCAACTACTCTCTGGTTTGAAAACAAACACTTTAAATCTTATCATTTGAAGCTATTGCGAAATTGTAAAATCAAAGAAAAGATATAAAACCCCTACGGTGTTTCTCCCATCTTCATAACTTAAAAATGGCAGCTGTGTATGTACAGAATCACAGGGAGGCCTCTGAAGATATCTAAGGCCATCTTCCATTTTGTCCACCTTATGTTCAAATGCCCAGTCACGATGGATCTCCCAGCACTTCTGGTTGGAAACTTATGTCCCAGAGGGAAGCAGATCCTCAGTTTTCCCTTTCTGAATTTTCTCACATTTCTTCTTCAACCCTCCTTCCATTCAAAACACAGCATGGCTATGCAAAGTAGTTCGGCAGAGTAGTTATGCATGTACTTAGCATCAGGGTTACTCATTAATCGCATCAAAATCATCCATCATTGTTTGAATACAGTAGTATATGTGCTCAGACACATGGTATGCTCACGCTGCATAGCCCTACATCAGGGTAACTTTCTAGAAGCCACTTTAGAGATACCCTGGGCAAAAATACACCGGTGTAAAAAAAAACCTCTTAGCCACTTCTATCCCAGATTAATATGACAACCTCTTAGCCACTTCTATCCCAGATTAATAATTTGTTCAGTACCAACAGGCTGTTACTGGCTCCCCACCCACTTAGTGGCAAAGTGCTGCAATAACAGCTACTGCGCAGCAGTTACCCTGGGAGAGCTGGTCATCTATCTGCTGGTGTCATTCACAGCAGTGTATAAAAGTGATGCAGTTTATCCCAGTGTTAACATGTTGTGTATCCAGCCAGTCAATTTAATAGATTTTGTAGATACTGGCTAATGCATCAGTCTTTAACACTGAAATCCAATCTATAATTCTATGAAATCCAATATGTTTAATCCACATGGGTCTGACAATATAACTGAGGGGTTTGTCTTAGTTTGCCTCCATCACCGATACATGGTATCACTTCATTTTCCGAAGTGGTCATCGCTGTTTAGCTGTGCTCCCATTTCAATCAGTGGGAATATTAATATTGACTTAATGGGGAGCAGAGTTAGCTCACATCAGAAGCATGAATTTGCCCACCTGTGTAAGTTTTTGCAGGATCAAAGTCTTAATGCACGCGAAGTTTGCAAGATAGCTTCAGACTTTACACGTCTAGTGGCAATTGGTCTTAATTCAAACTCAAACAGAAACCGAGAAATAAAATATCAGCGAAATAAATTTTGTCACCAGCATTTTCCCCCCAAACAAATCTCTTTATGCAGTGCCCTCTTTTGCAATATAGATTTTGATCTTAATGAAAATGTGGAATATAGTACCCCTTTCTGCAACTGTCTTTCGAAAAGAGTGTCTTAAGAAACCCACGGTAATACTGTGGATAAATTATTTTGCTGCCATTAGAAGGTCAAATGTTTGAGCTCAAAACTGTTTAAACATGTGCACTTCGGTAGCCAGTCGTTAATGTGGCTTAAACCACAACATTAATAATTTTGACATTGATATAGTACTTGGTGGCAAAAGGTGATCATCTCAGTAACACAAGCAGCTGAACATTACAAAAGTCTCTGTGGCCTAATAGTATTTCTTAAGAACCACTAAAGATTCTTGTTCAAGTCTTGGAGACTATGATCAATGGAAGGGTCAAAGTGCTAACAAAGGCTCAACTGGCTAGTTGCATTTTTGTTTGCCTGTTGATAGATGTGTTTTAAAAGACCACAAAGGCATTTGTTTCATAGACTGTAGTGAGAAAGTCTAACGCAAGAAAACAATCAAGTCCAGCTTCTGGCCTTGTATGTCCATAAATTGTGTTCTGAATTTCAATAAGAAGCGGCTCATCTAAACTTTTATGGCCTAAAAGGGACCAGTTACTTATTTGTAACAAGTAAAACAAGAGCAAACTAGTGAAATCCACTAGTTATTAAAAAGCTTTCTGTAGAATACCAATATGGGTTTAGTGCATTCTGGAGTCAAGTAAAAGCCACCAGAATTATGTACCCACAATTGTTGCCAAAAAATTAAATTACTGTGTGTTCATTTTGGTAGAAATAATTAAACAAAGTGCTATCTTGAAGTCCTCATAAACAATGACACTGACCAAATATGGAACAAGTGTTTCATTTAAAATTAGACAACACGTTTTCTTTGCAAAAAGATCCCGTCACAATTAAATTTCAAGTTCAGAGAGAAGAAAACTGCACTCTAGGATTTCCCTGCAATGTCATGGGTTAATATGTTTATTCAAACAAGACTGCCCCAGCTGTCAGACGTGCACGGAGAAGGGTCCCTCGCTATGTTAATTCCCTTAGATTACAAAGCAGAAAATGCTGAATTGAGGATGACGGTTTGCTCTCTCCAGTTTGACTCTGCTCCTGCTACCTTTCTAGATTTCCTGCATGCCCAAGCAGAGGGCAGAGATTATATGTCTCTGTTATACTTCTCAGGTATAGGGATGGGGATGAATTTCTGAGCTCCACTGCAGTACAGTTTGAAGAGGCCAAAGGAAGGGAGGGAAATAGAAAACAGAAGGTCTTTTATCTAAAGCTAGTGGCATCCCCCGCTGTCCACCCCGTCTCCCAAAACATCTTGCCTACAGAGTGGGCTCTTCCTGCTAAGAAACAACTTTTGAACAAGACTTTATAGGTACTTTTACGTCCTCTCAAATGTGCAGTCTGATGTGATTCTTGAGGCTTCCAGTATGACATTTGCAGATGTTGCAGTGGTCTGCTCATCTCCCAAGCAAGGAGGTAGCAGCCCCCAAATACTGGAAGAAATGACCCTTAAAAGATCTTAGGGACAGCAGCACGTCTGTGCAAGAAACCACTAAAATCTGCACAGCCAGGACTCTTGCAAGATGGGCTAATACAACCTTGGTTCAAATAAGGGTGCCTCAAATTCCAAATCCCACCCCACCCACCCCTACCAAAAATAATTTTCCTAATAGGGCTGATGACTGTGCTCTACAGAGCTACCTGTGCCTATGTTTGTGGCATGTTTAACAACATACTTCTTACTGCCTGTTTGAACATATTATCTACCCCCAACACCCTGGCATCTGAAGTTGTTTTGGGCAAATTCACATTAGGGGAGTGGGATCCCTTTCAGGCAGTTCCTCGGTATGAAGAGGCATGGATTCAGAGCAGCCATCCTCTCGTGGAGGATCCTAAACACCTCACTCACCTAGAAAGATAAATATAAAGACTAGTTCTTTGGGTTTGGTCCGAGAAAAAATGAGCAGAAAAGTTCAAAAGGAATGACCGCAGTGCTGCGGTCAGTAAGCCAATTGCGCTGTGAAGTGAGATCAGGGTTACCAAGGCTATTTTTCACCTCCTTGGTCAAGCCCAAAACCAAAGGGAATGGCAGGAAAACAGGTGGCCGGGGGAAGCGGGGTTAATACTTGAAGGCACAGCATATTAAAAGATGGTTTTAAAAAAAATGATTGATTTAATTTCACTAAGCATCTGAATCAAATCTGAGTATTTTGCCCATCACAAAACATTCATTTCAAAGAAATAATAATGCTCATTTCTGCCTATTGAAGCAAAGGTCTTGCATGCAGGTGCAAACTGGCCGTAATTTCGGATCATCAGTAAAATAATTCAATAATCCATTGTGAATGAAGGTCCTTCTGGGCGTATGGAGGTTAATTTACTATTAACACTTACTCCAGATCCGTTATGAAGAGTGGTCGGAGGCATAATATCATGGTGCATATTCTTTCTTCTTGCCGTGCTATAACTGCCATATGGATTTCAGCAGCCAGATCCTTGATCTCGCTCTCCCTTTCTCTCCCAACTTGGCAAGGGACCAGGGTTCTTTTAGGCATCTTTTTTTCTGTGCAGAGTTCATAGGGAGAAAGAGCACAGACCTAACTTTCACCTGACCTATGTGGGCAAAGGATCCAGATGCTAAGTAAATTATGTGTGTAAATGTTATGTTACTGCTTACTGGAGTTTCTCACTCAGATGAGTATCACGTTAACACAGCAGCCCTGACTCGAGCCCAGCACTGCCCACAACCACGGTTCTGTGGCTCCGGTGCAGGCCCAAGGCTACTGTACTTTCCTCTGCTTAGGAAGCATAAATTTTTCAGGATTTTATGCAGCGCTTATCACTGCAGAATTGCAACACCTGGCTGAGTGCTAATAACACAATAAAACTGAGGGCGCCCAGGACAGTTCACTGCCTGGCTGGCAGTATAGACACTCCAGAGTGATAGGGAGTCTCATCATCTGTGCGCCAATAGTGATTTTTAGACCTTTGAATTCTCCGTACGTAGGGGCAAACTCTCAGAGGGCTCTGTAGATAATAACTCTTGTTTTGTAGAATCAACTCGCACCCCTGAAAATAATCTGTGTTTTTAAAAATTTAGATTTATGCAATTGTATCTATAAAATCTTTCAAAGCTTTATGATTATATTAAAACTTTATTGAGGCGAAGGCACACAGAAAACAGCTGCTCTGATTTTTAAGCACACAAAATTATCATATTTAGAGTTGCATAAAATCCCAGTTTTTCTGCTTCCACCCAGGGCGGGAGGGATTGTACCCAAGGGTAAGTCTACCAACTAAATATCCATAAAAATCAGGTTCTAAACACCTGCTCCGAGTCTTTTATTTTTTTTTCAAGGAAAAAACAATTTTTTAAAGATTACTTATCTAAACACTAGTTTCCCTTAACATGCATACTACATAATACACCAGGTGATTATTAACTTCAGACTATCTTTGATGCTGCATTTTAAAATGCAAACACCTGCCTACATCTGAAGTGTAACAATGCCCATTTCAATTGTCAATATGCATTATTAAACAAATAGTAAATTAAAAACAGGATATAAAAAGAATTGGTAAATAACATCATCTCCTCTTCCAGAAATGAAATGAATAAAGGAGTTACCAAGTAGGACATACCTAATAACAACTAAATGTCCCCATTCTTTGGTGTATTTTGTTACTGCAAAACAAAATAGTGCGTCTCTGCTACATTTTACTGTCCTGTACGCTTTGCTTTATGGTCACAGTCTCCGACCTGTAAAGATCATAAGACCTTTTTTTTTGTTTTTAGAGGTACCTCCACTAAGTCTCTTTAAGGTACATAGAAAAATGCAGTATACTAGATTCTGGCCTCAGCTAACACTGGAATAAAATCTAGAGCAAACACACCGACTGCAGTCACTGGCATAACTGAGATCAGGCCCACTTGATCTAAGCTTTCCTGCTGAGCTTTCCTTCTGAAGCTCTTCTCTGAAAGTGAAAACGCTTTAGAAATATGGAAAAAAAATTCTGCCATTAAACCAACGTGCTCAACCTTTATGTAACAAAAGAGAAGAGAAAGAGCAGCAGTTCACCATGAATACTATTGACTGAAAGCATTTAAATACCATCTGAAATGTCACTGACATTACCGCTATTTTGCAAATAATAATAAAAATTAAAACAAAATAAAAAAAACCCCAACAAATTACACCTGTTGACAAGTAAATAGCAAGAGATTGCTGATCTTGGCAGCTGCCATCTAGACGTGCCAATAAATTATTCATATCAGCTCATTTTATTGTCTTTCCCCCTTATGAATGGCACCAGAGGTTGAAAAGGAAAATGTTCTGCAATAACAAATTATGTTATCAAGTCTTTTTACATCTGAATACACAGTAAGAAGCCAAAGAGACTCATTCATGCTACATACAGAAGGGGTCTTCTCTGCACACCCCCCTCCACCACCACCACCTTATTGTTTGGGAAGATTCAAGGATTCCTACATGCCCTTTTGCCCAAATTTTCAGTTTTCTTCATTGATTCCCAACAGCAGGTCTCTATCCCAGCAATTTTATTACATTCAGCCTCAATTAGGCTACAGAAAACCTTTGCAGACCTCCTGCCGTAGCACACCCCAATAGTCAGCTGTCAGGGACTCTTAAAACATTTTAGTACTTGTGTCTACATGCAACCACTGGTGGAAAATGGAGCTTCCATTTCTCACAGGAGAAACCACTCCAGACTAGCACGGTGACATGACTGGCCACAACATGGTTCTGCCCCGAAAAGTCCTGTCGTCTGTGAAGCGCAAGTCCTTTCAACTCTCTAAGGACCTCAGGACTTCCACGGACGCCATTCGTGGGATGAAGAGACAGCTGTGATAGCTGGGAGCTCTCCCCTCTACGGGAATCCTTGGTCCCACGTCTCCTCTAGCTCTACAATACCTTTCCCCTGGCAGAAGACTGAAAAGCAACCATGAGCACAGGGAGAGTCTAACCCAGGAGATTTCTTTGCAGCAATAAAGTCTGGATTTTTTTTTTTTAAAGAAGGCTTAGATGTCTCCAGAACCAGCAGGGTGACCAGAGAATACTAAAAGGGTATAGCATTGCTTCACCCAAGCCCTACCAAAATACCGAAGGCCAAGGCATATTTCTACAACCAGTGTCAGATGCATTTCGGAAATCTATAGATCTTGCTCCCACCAATGTTTCTCTTTCCTCTGAGCCACTTATTAGTCATTCTTTTCCGACAGTTACAAAATACGAGGATTAAGGTAACAGAGTGCTGTCCTCTTTCAAATCAGTCAGAAAATAGTGTGTCAAAATTCTTCACTGCTTACAGAAAAATATATACTAGCTATGGCAAATATTGAAATAATATGTTCTGAAGTATTTTAGCATTTGAAGTCTTGCCACTACGTGAAATATAGGTAATTTTTCTTCTTTAAAATCAATAGAAGGTCCATTTTCAAAATGACTTTATATTGATTGAGGGGTTAAAAATGCCCCAAGTATTGATTGCCTGTACATAATCACTTTTTGCTCAGTACGTTAACTTGGTCTACACGGTAAAATGAAAAGAGATCCAGTATATCATTTAAGCAAAATATTTTCATTGCATTTGAAAAACTGCTTTCATCACTCACAGATGTGTCATTTCTTTGCCTAGGAGGTGGACTTGCATCGAGTGAACAGCCAGGACAAGCTCGGCCTTACTGTCTGTTATAGGACCGATGACGAAGATGACATTGGTATTTATGTAAGCGAGGTAAGATTGAGCAGCTTGACACAAGATCCAATTTGTCTTTTAAATGGCAGTGTTGGATTTAAGACAAATGCCATCCTTGCTCCCATTCATACTGTATCTGGAGCCCTTCCAAGAACAGCTGGAAGTGGAATAATGTGAAGCGAGCTGATTATTTTTCCTTTTCTCCAAACTGCGAGTGAAATCCTGGGCCCGTTAAAGTCGGTGGCAAAGCTCCCATTGACTTCAGCGGAGCCAGATTTCCACTCTCTATTTCAGTGGAGTGTACTTCAAAAGACAAGACTGTACTCTACTATAGCAAACAATTTTCCTCCAGCATTTCTCATGTTTCTTTTCTTCTGTGCTTTCCTCTTCAGTACTGACATATATTTATGTACATAAAATACAGAGTGAAGTGTTTAAGCAGCTTATTGTGATGCACGTCAGTGTGATTTTTCCCTTGGTGCTTCTTTTCCAGGAGCGTTTAGGAAAAAAAAAAAAAAATCTCTCTCAGCACCTGTGTATAATTCACAAAGAAAATGGAGGTTCTCCTTGCTTCTCCATAAATAACAAACAGAAATTAGTACCTGATCCATGTTCACGCAGATAGCGCAACAGCAAAATCAACAGCTTTTTGCATAGTCCCACTTATTAACTGCGTCTGGCAGAAATGCCTGCTTTTCAGCTGTGCCCACGTCCTCGGGTAGCAACCGGTGGGGATGGAAATGGCAGTGCTGCTTACTATGATGATGATCTCTTCAGTGAACACACTTGATTAACAGTCCTTGCAAGTCCATCTTGAGATAATCTTTGAAAGGGATTTCAACCTCCTGTAGAAAACCGACGTATGTGAACGAGAGGAGGCCTGTACTTCTCTAGTCACAGCTGTGAACCACACCGTGTGGTCTATACACAGATTAATGGTACGATGATTTACTTTACACCTGGCAAGGATTCTTCCCTGTAATCCTACAGACTAAGGCCCATCCTCCAAATTTCCATAAATGACAATCAGTTTGAAGTCAGGTTTTTAGAGACACAAGCAGACCATTCACTCCAACTCCCTATTTTGCTGAAGCAGCTTCTACAGCTCTCTGGTCCCTCTGTCACCTCTGACGCACTTGCACACACACGTGCCCACTCTGCCATGCACTCAAAAGGCTTCAGCAAGAAAGGTCTGAAGACCTCATGGCTTCCATAGATTTTGTAGCAAGGCAGCATCAACGAGTATGTCACATTACACAACCTCGAGGGCTGCATTTGTGCAGAGAGATAATGAAGTCCTAGGATGAAACGTCTTGCCCCAAGCTTCTCCAACCAGCCTTTCATCCTCTCTTGGAATAGCACAGCTCGAAGTAACACTTCCCATTGTCGAGCCCCACAAGTTGTCTCGTGGAATGGCTTAGAAACTACAAAGATACACCAGGTTTGGTGGTGGCCTTCTCACGGGTATAAATCAGAAAGCACGTCCTTGATTTCATGGCAATTAGTCTGGATTTACGGAGGTGGAATGGATGGCAGTGAAAAAGGCAGCCAGGGTGAGATAAACAGATTTCCCTTCATGGGCCTGATCCTGTGAGTAAGAAGTTAGCTCACTTCAGAGCGAGAAAAAGGCAGTGATACCCAGCACGCTCACAGGAACACCCCATCATTACCATCCTAACGACAGGGATCCTTTTATGGTATGACTCCTTGCATAAGTTCCCTAGGTTTTACTTCAATAGGAGTAATAATGACTATATTAAGCAACCCTGGGAGCTCTTCAGTCACCCGTTTTAGGGTCTGCTTAACTGTTTCAAACAGCGTCTTTTTGTCCTTCATATTTAATTGCAAAGGCAAAGATTTGTTTCGTGTCTGGCTATAACTGTGCAAAGTCCAAGGACCTTCTTCAATCCACATGACAGCGGTTGTTCGAGGCTGTCTGCAGAATCATTTGAGGCTCATTGCACTGATCGTTGAGCTTCTTTTAGAGGCTGGAAAAAATTAAAAATTGCAAAAAGCAACATAGGAAGGAAACCAGTTGTGACTCCACAGAAATCTGTGTACAACTCCTGATGGAGTCACAGGTACAACCAGTCAAAATTTTAAATTCACTTTTTTTATTTGGCACAAAAAGTGACTTTTTCCATGTTTCCACTTGGGACAAAATACAAGTTTTTGTCTGAAACCCAAAAACTTTTCAGATAAACCTCTATGACATGACATGTAATTTTCCTAGCCAGCACAAGCTGTTCCTCAAGGTTTGGTAACCCCTGCACTAGCCTATTCCAATCCATGGACAATGCCAGGGTAAATGCTTTAACTGGGGTTTAATCCTAATGTCCTTGTACTTACCAACCTATAATTCAAAAATTTACTTTATGTACCTGTCAGTTCTACATTTAAAACTGCCAATAATATATTAATGTTCATTGCATTTGATTTCTGCGTTAATTTTTTCCTAAGCGATATAAAGAGAAAACAGCTCCAAACGTGTTTATTCCTAATTCTGCATTGCAGGTAAAAGACATGCAGGCTCAGATTACAGCCCTGCATGTAAACATCAAAATGTTAAATAACAAAACCCAATTAACTCATGCAATGTTTAATACAAACCTGGTGTCGTCTTTGGTGACTGGTGGCATGAAGAAAACATTTTGTATTTTACTCGGATGCTTTCACCTGCGTTTCACCCCTTCTCATGAAAGCAAGTGAAAACTCTTGTAATCATTAGGTGAGAAGACCCAACCATGGACCCAGCATCTCCATTTAATACGTTACTCACATCATAAGCATGGTTTAAAATGGGAAATGAAGGACTGAGCTTTTAAACCTCCAACACATTTACAACTCTTCTGTTTTGTAGATCGATCCCAACAGCATTGCTGCAAAAGATGGTCGTCTACGAGAGGGAGATCGCATTATTCAAGTATGTTGTGCAAATGATTGAGAGGTTGATTGCATAGCCCAATAAACCACAGCCATTCAACTGTATACATCACATTGCTTCATTAACTTTATTTTAGGATCACTACCATGGGAGTCATTCCATGATTGTCTGATACATGTAGCTTTTTCAAAAGATTTTCTTTTGAGCTCCTGTTTCGCTGGTTTAGTCAAACCCCTAATGGCTAGATTTTGGTAGCCTTGGTCACATGGAGTAAGTCCTATACTAGCCTGAACAGGAATGGCTGAGTAAAGGTTAATAAGCCCTTTTTGCACTGAAGTGAGATGTTAACCCTCCACCAAGCTACCTGCCTCATTCCTAACAATGATGGATCCTTTCCTCCCTCCCTAATCCCGGTCTGCACTGGATCGTTTTACCAGTACACCTTGCCTTTTTTCAGAGTTGCTTGGCACACATTAACACTGAATTCTGTCTCCCTCTATCTTTGCACATGGCTACACCCATTTTCAGTGCAACACAAGCATTTTCTTTGCAGACAAAGAGTCCCACTCTGGACTGCTATACAGGATCCCCCTACTGCAGTCCCACGGTGCACTTGAGTCTTTGGAGCAACCAATTTGGTAGCACTTTAGTACTCTGCTGCCAAGGGGTCCCAATTCATGTCGAAACGCCAAGCAAAGTCTCCATAGCCACATACAGCCTCCTTCAGCAAATCTGCCACAACACCTACAACTTCTGCCACAACTTCATCAGTGACCTGATGAAGAACATCTTGCATTTAAAGCTTGTCTAATTTTATTCCAACCATGCAGCTGGTCCAATAGAAGATATCACCCTCCAAAAAAAAAATCCTTGCCTCCCAGGTAATTCCTTGGCCATCATGGCTACAACATCGCTCTGACACTGCCATAACATTTACATACGTTCTCCACAGTTGCAGATTCATGCAGGGACACTACGTACCATGTTTCATCCCAGAATCTATCCAGCCAGGCAGCCTGAAAGAAAATGTGCATCCAAACTAAAGGATTTTACCCTTGTACTGATTCTTCTTTATTCAATATTTTTAGATTAATGGCATAGAAGTACAGAACCGAGAGGAAGCTGTGGCACTCCTCACCAGTGAAGAAAGCAAGAATGTCTCCTTACTTGTAGCAAGGCCAGAAATTCAGGTACCACTGCATCCAGTACACAAAGCTACCTTATATTTACCATAGATTTAACACAGAGAATCTGCTTCCTAGAAAAGTAGTAACTTGTTTTTTTAAAGAGGGTTAAGATTTCTATTTAAAAATGTGTTCTGCAGTTAGATTGGACGCACGCAGCATCTGAAATAGGGGAAGTTTGAGAGTTCATGATCTTTACATGACATTTTGTAATTCAAGTTTCATGAATTATTAATGTGTGTTTCAGTCTGGTTAAAGACACAGATAGTACATGTTACAGATGGTTATAATCACATCACTAGAAGGTGTTACAAATGATTACAAGCTGCAGTTATAAACAACCTATTGAACTCTACAGTAAACCCCCAGCAATTGTTCAATCATTTATTAAAACATCATTAATCATTTAGTAGCCTTATATAAACCCTCGCTAAAGTGGAGCCTTAAAGTAAAGCGCAACTCACATTTTGGTTAGGTCCAAGCAGTTCTCAGCTGCCGGGTTTGGGTTTGACACAAGATCCTTGACTTTTCTTCTAGGTCTGAGATAAGAGGGGTCATGCTCATTCAGCAGCATTTACTGCAATTATTAGTGGGGATATATGTCCGTCTTTCTAACAGTGCCTGCCATTCTGGGCATAGTTCAGGCTTGGGCTGGTGAGTGCAGTGATACCCACTCCCCCCCTTTTTTTTCCCCTTGAGGTAAGTGGACATGACATTGGGGTGGAGGAGAGATTGTTGTCGAGAATGGATTTCTATTCTGATTGACAGAACAGCTAAATCAATTACTGTGGGACAGATTTTACTATTGGAGAGCCAAGCACCCAAATGCAAGGAAAAGATTGGGAAGATTAGTGTTTGCACTTAGGAATAGCTCATGCAGGAGACATGCACAGTTGAGATCACTGTACTGTGCCTCCCTCAATCTCCTGTTAATTTGCTGCAAAGAAGATGCCTGTGTCTGTCACGTTACATTCATATTTGGAGTGTTGTTGCTGTTCCCTATCCTGCAGCTGGATGAAGGCTGGATGGATGATGACAGAAATGATTTTCTGGATGACTTGCACATGGACATGCTAGAGGAACAGCACCACCAAGCAATGCAATTTACTGCCAGCATACTTCAGCAGGTAATGTTGTGTGATGCTGTCAAAACCTCACATCACACTTAGGGGGTCTGATACTGAACTTGGCTGAATGTATTTACCGGGACTTTTAATGTGAATTTTTGTTTTGTGCTAAATCATGATATTCCATGACTCAAATTGAGAATCATGTAAACCACATGGAAAACGTCATATCAATAAGCAAAGCCATTTTCAAATCCTCTCTCCTACCCTTTAACACAAATGCAATTCAAGGCTTTAATGCCCTTTCTCATATTCTCCATTGTTCTGGCTCTGCTCTTTGAGAGAAGTCAAAATTAGGTATGTGGGTGTTAAGAGGATGGACTGGAGAATACTGAAAATGAACAAATGTCAGTATACAAATCAGGTGAAAGATAAAGAATTCTCTATGTGGAAATATTTAATCCTAAATCAAGCATAACATTCTTGGTAGTGAGAGGTTTCCTCCACATTACAGACAGCGGGCTATGGGGCGCAGTCCTGGGCTCTATATTTTCGGAAGGATTTAGAGAAACTAGAAGGAATCCAGAGCTGAGTGACAAAGGGGTCAGAATACAAGCTGGAGGAAGAAAGATTGAGAGCGCTAGGTATGATCGGTTTGGTGAAAAGGAGATTAAGACTGAACATGACAGCAGGTTTCAAATATTTGAAAGGATGCCATAAATAAGAGGGAGAACAGTCATTCTCCCTTGCTGCACAATGTACGATGCAGAGCAGTTGGCTTAAACCTCAGCAAAGCAGATTTAGCCTCAGTCTCAGGGAAAAAGCAAAAGAACTTCCCTGCAAGTCACTTCCAAACCTGCGATTCCATGACCGCGATTATGGTGACGACTATTACAGCAGCACTTACAGAAGTGGAAACCCGGCGTGGCATTCAGCATAAATACGCGGTGTCTGCCTCAAAGGCCTTGCAGCCTTAACAGATGAGGCAGGCAGCCAATGGGATAACAGGGGGGAAAAGTTTATACGTGAGCAGGGATCCTGGTTTTCTCGGATAAATAATTTTTTTTTTTTTAAATCACAAATTGCAAATTCTCTGATAAAAACCCCAAAATCCGCAATTAAAATGAAACACATATATATATATAAAATTGTAAATATATCAATAGAACACTGTTCAATTGAGAGAGAGAGAGTGAGAGAGAGAGAGAGATTTATCTATCTATCTATCTCAATTGAACACAGTGTTTTATTGATATACTTACAAATTTAAAGCAGTTTGGAAGCCTATCAGTGCCCATATCACTATAATAGAATAAATTCTAAATACCTATACATTTTGGTTTTTGATTTTGATATTTCTGGAACTCTGCCAGCCTGCAGAGAGCTCTTTGCAAAAGTGCAAAATCCACATGGTCCTCTGCCAAAATGAAAAATCGGCCTTTTTCTTGGGGAAAGGGGGAAATCTGTGTTTTTCTCCATGGGAAGCAGAAAACCTGGAAATCTGGTGCGATAATTATACAGTTGAAAATCTGGCCCTGAGCTTTGTAGAAAACCAGAATATGATTTTCTACAATTACCCTGCCTTTGAGTTCTTTCAAATGTAAAATTTTCTATCTGTGCTGACTAGAAGATGCAAAGAAACTAAACACGCCATCCATGGCAGAGTGAGAAATCTTTAAAATTGCTCTAAAGCTTTTTTTTATTATTGCTCTTCTTTAAAACTTGCAGACTGCTCACCTGTAATTCTTACTGTTTTACATTTCGGCTTTTGTTTCCAGAAGAAGCACGACGAAGATGGAGGTACCACGGACACCGCAACAATTTTATCCAACCAGCACGAGAAGGACAGCGGTGTGGGACGTACGGATGACAGCACTCGCAATGATGAGAGCTCAGAGCAAGAGAACAACGCCGACGATCACATGACTTCCTCTAACACTTTAGGGAGCCAGAAGAAGCTGCCGTACAGTCACGACACACTTGGAAGTGGCGATATGCCATTCAGCAACGAATCGTTTATCTCGGCTGATTGCACAGATGCCGATTTCCTTGGCATCCCGGTAGACGAGTGCGAGAGGTTCCGGGAACTACTGGAACTCAAGTGTCAAGTCAAGTCTGGCAACCCCTACAGCCTCTATTATCACAACAGTGCTCTGGATATGAGCAAAAGCGACCAAGAGAGCGTCGACAGAGAGCTGGAGATGCTGAACGAGGAGCTGCGGAACATCGAGTTGGAGTGTCTGAACATCGTGAGAGCTCATAAAATGCAACAGCTGAAAGAGCAATACCGAGAGCCCTGGATGCTCCATAACAGCGGGTTCCGCAACTACAACACGAGCATCGACCTGCGCAGACACGAGCTCTCCGACATTACAGAGCTCCCGGAGAAATCCGACAAGGATAGCTCAAGTGCGTATAACACAGGGGAAAGCTGCCGAAGTACACCGCTCACGCTAGAGATTTCTCCTGACAATTCACTGCGCAGAATTGCAGAAGGAACCAATTGCCAAAGCAGCGAGGGGGCAACTGCATACAATGCCGCCCAGAAGAATTTGCTACCTAGCTCAGAAAGTCACGAATCCAGCGCTGCTAAGTATCACTCGTCTCCTAAAGATCCTGACCTTGACAAGCAGCTGGAAAGCAAGGACAGAAAAAACAGCGATGGAAGCAAAAGCCCAACTCACTCTCAAAAACCAGGTGGCTCCTACATCTCCCCGTATCATCACTCTCCGTACAAGCATGCTCATATCCCTGCCCATGCACAGCACTATCAGAGCTACATGCAGCTGATTCAACAGAAATCAGCTGTGGAATATGCACAGAGCCAAATGAGCCTGGTCAGCATGTGCAAAGACTTGAATTCGTCAAGCCAGAGCGAGCCCAGGATGGAATGGAAAGTCAAGGTCAGGAGCGATGGGACCCGCTACATTACGAAGAGGCCGGTCAGGGACAGACTGCTGAGAGAGCGTGCCATCAAGATTAAGGAAGAGCGCAGCGGTATGACTACGGATGACGATGCGATAAGTGAAATGAAGATGGGCCGTTACTGGAGCAAGGAGGAACGGAAGCAGCATTTGGTGAAAGCGAAGGAGCAGAGGCGAAGGCGAGAGTTCATGATGCAGAGCAGGTTGGATTGTTTAAAGGAACAGCAAGGTGCAGAAGAGAAGAAGGAAATGAATATCATTGAACTGAGCCACAAAAAAATGATGAAGAAAAGAAATAAAAAGATATTTGACAACTGGATGACAATCCAAGAACTGTTAACCCATGGCACAAAGTCACCCGACGGCACAAGAGTGTACAATTCCTTCCTGTCAGTGACTACTGTATAATCTCCATTGCTGAATTATGTACATAAAACACTACCATTGGGGTAGAATTCACTGCCTCGTTCAATGTGGCAAGTTTTTTGTATATAAGATACAGTCATCCACTTTATAGTTCAAGTACTGAACTCTACAACTCTGGGCGCTGACACTCTGTTGGAGAGCGGAGAGAAAGCTCACCCGTCTTCTTCAAAGGCAATATTAACAGACCCTTTTGGAATACTGATTGTACTTTTTATTTTATTTTTTCTTGTTACCATTTACATGAAGTGTTTTAATATCAGCAAATGTATTACCCATACTTACACAGGTAATTTGCTTTTAACCTATATTCATATTAAAAAGTTACACATGCTTTTCTTTGCCTAAACACAAAAGCAACTGCAAATATGTAATTTTTTTTTTTTTTTGTGAAACCATATGTTGTGATATGACTTTGCTGTTGTGTCCTTTGGCGCACAGTGCTGTTTATCAATATTTAGCTCAAGGTTTAAGCTCAAAACTATTGAATTCCTGATAGAGTCAGTCTCCTGTAATATTTAACATTTATCAAAACAGCAGTCTTTTAGAGTTAGGATCAGCATTTAAACATTTTTCTTTGTGAGGTTTCTAAAGGAAGTATATTGGTTTCATCTGAAAGGCCTGAAGCAAAGTACAGTATACCGCAGCTTTAAAGGATTTTAAAGCATGTTTGCAAATGTTGCAACCTGTTGAAAGAATGTGCATGTACAGCCGATTTGTTTATATAAGACAGTTTGTGTAATTTGAAAAGCCCATGGTAGTACCTGTTTGCTTTGTAGATTTGAATGTACTGAATTATAAAATCATGATTAGTTACACAAAATCATGATTAGTTACAAACATTAACAAGTAAATTGAAGTAAAATAAATTATTGTTTTATATTTCATATGCTCTGAATTTATTCTTTAGCCCAGAGTCTTGTTCAAGTTGCACTGATAGATCCGGAGTGCAGCAGAAAAGCAGGTTGCTCGTTTGCTAGAGGACTGCTTGGACCGCTTGCTAGATTCTGAATCAGTATGACAAAAATGCACTCCACTTTTTTTGGTTTTTTGGGGTTTTTTTAAATCTTTGTAGACATCAACCACCGAGAATTATTACAGATAAATAGTAAGACTAGAATTAGATGATAATTCTCCTATCAGCTGGCAGAACATTTATTACAGGTGACCTCTGGAGGAAAAGGAAAAAGGGACTTTTGTCCTATCCCTGCTATTTTTTGGTTTTATTTATGATAAACAAAAGTAGCCTGAATATTTGGTGTCAATTCCTCTTCTGCCCCAGAACGAGTAGAAACAAAAAGCATTCCCTTCCCCACTCCACTTTTCTTCTCTCTCATTCTTGTTAGAAATCCAGATGTGGTCAAGGCTGAAATACTTGACAAATACGAAATACTCAGAGAGAAGGTTGGGAAAATAAGAGGGGAAAAGATTGAAAAGCTGTTCAAAAATTGTGTTAAACATTTAATTCCAACGATTGATTAATTTTTGGATGAATTAAGCCATTCAGTGTCCTCAGATGATCGGCAACGGTTCATTTTGAACAGCCCTTGCGCCTCTCTCTAGGCTCCACCAAAACAGAGAGAACACACTTTATATTCTTAAGTTTGTGACGGACATACAGACAAAGACAAAGAAAGACAGAAAGAGAAACAGAGAAAGAAAGAAAGAAAATCAAACTTTTCAAAGGATTCTGTTCATTATAAAAAAGCAAAATGTATAAGTTATTTTTTAAATCTTTTGCTGGTCACGTAAGTGAAGTATTAAGTGTGTATCTGCTATCCCCCACAGCACTCTGCTCTGCACACTAGGCACCACTTCCTTGTGGAAAGTGTCCCGGCTCCACTCGGTTCAACTGCTGACATGAAATGTATAAAGTTCTGTACATTTAGCACAGATGGGACTCTGCCCTTGAAGCCAACGGGAGTTTTTCTATAGACTTCTTCAGAGCCAGGATTTCACTAACATGTTTCAGAATATTAACACCATGGTCATGACATAGCAGAAAAGATAACGTGACTTTTACAACATGGCCTTCAACAGAAGCAGCCTACTTTCCTTCTCTGACTCGAAGCTCTTCTATTCTGGCTTCTTACCATATTAAGCCCAAGCATAGTAACATTGCTTCTTATAAAGTTTAGCATTGAAAATGGACAGACAGATAATCAAGATGGAATCGCATGTCATAAATCACGCATGAAAATATATTTATACCAGTTTTTTTCCCCCCTAACTAGAAACTCCTGAGCAGTTCTTGAAATGCTCCCATGAGAAAAAAAAATTACATTGAGCCATTACTGTAAATAAAATGTTCCTCTGGAATAATATTTTCAGATCTTGGTTCTTTTGTCCTCGGTAACACAAGTGCCAAATACCATAATTATGGGATAAGGACAGAACAGCAGGAAAAGTTATTCTGTGTTTGGTACAAAAGGTTGACATGTAGAAATAAAGTATAGCAAACCACAAACAATACAAGGTTACTTGTGCCAAGGTTTTTAAATCAGATTCTTGGCTACAGGCTTCCTCTATTTCTAATCCCTTTCCGGAGCCTTTTTACTGCTAAATATTGGTGGTGTGAATTTTATCATTTTTATCACATTTACCCATTAGTAGATAATTAAGATCAATCCACAAAAACAGCAAAACATCAACCTTTCAGCTCAGAATCTTGGGCCATCATGCAAATCTCTGCCAAAGTTATTCAAACTCTGGATTCTTCAACCCCCACCTAGATAAATGGCTCCCAAACTCTTTAGACCAATGGGCCACTGTCAAACCTCAGAATTTATCGCAGACCCCCTCGGACATTTACCGAAGTTTTAACTGAACAGATGCAGATCTGATGGAATTCGTAGGCGACTTATCATGAGCCGCTAGTGTGGCTTGTGGGACAGTTTTGTAGTCCCTGGATGTCTGTCTTCTTTCCTGTGTTAAAACTTTGATGATAGGAATTTATTGAAAGACTTAGCACTCCTAGCTTTGAAAGTGTCTACCATTCCATCCCTAAGGACCATTTTCCCCATTGTTTCCAGTAATAAACCAGAGGAGCAGAGCGAATGCTCTGGCAACCAATTCCTTAGCCAGATTGGCTCATCTGTAACAGGAGAGAAACTAGATGGAATAAATTGTGTTTGGAAATTAATGTAGCTCAGGAAGAGGAGGTATGGGGGGGGAGGTGGCAGAAGCAAGTCCATTTACTTATTTCAACATGTTGCAAAGCTTCATAAGTGAATAAATCCAAAATAAATGTAAAGGGAAGACTTGGAAAGGAGTACAATAAATGCAATTCTGGCGTCCTAAATGAAGACAAAGACTTCAAAGCCCTATTAAATCCAGTCCCTCCAGACTCATTTCATTTCAGCTTTGGCTTTCTACAAAATCAAGTTTCAAAACATGACCAGTCGCCCCTCTTCACACCGACACCCCCCCCACCTCCAACCAAAGGCACACATGCACAAATGAATTTCTTTTCTCCAGTCCCAAGCACTGCTGAACAGATTCATTTTCACAGGTTGCCGTTCCACCAGGCTGTGCGCCAGCCGGCCCTGGTAATATTGTTTTAAAAGACAGATTATTTGGCTCTGTAAAGAGAACTTGGAAACTACTTGCAGGTTCAGGCTAGTCCTTTTCCAAAGAGTATCTCTCTGTCGCATCCATGCCCATTATAACCTTTGTCCCCAGGAAGGTCAAAAGCAGCAACAGTGCTGCCACCTGTTCCCCCATCTTTATGGTTAGATGACACAAAGCTGTCTTGTATCTTGGAGTTACCTGCTCTTTGCCCCTATGATTTCTCAGCAAATTGCCTTGTATAAATGGATCGAGAGCAGGTGACAACTTTTGGCTCATCTCTGCATTCAGGTCTCCCTCCTGTGAGCAGGTTTAGTTCCTCAACCCCAGCTTTTGCTTGGAGTTGCAGGGTCCTCATCTCCCTGGAGTTGAAAGGAGCACAGCAGGCCACAGTCCCTGCTTCAATGCCCTTAGTCTGAGGATTCCCACCAATTGCAATGGAAACTTTTGCAAGCTGAGTTCTCTCGATTCAAAATAGCTTAAGGTGTGCAGTCACTGCTGGCTTGGCCGTGCTTAACAAAGTAACTTCCTCCTCTCCACCCTAACCTTAAACCCGATAGGAAGAAGTGTCCATGGCAGGTCGGGCAACTTTCCTTCTCATCTAGTTTTCTTGTTATCATCTCTAGTCTTTGTCCTAGCTGTACAAAAGTACTTAACGTTCTGATGGAGAGGATAGTTTCAGCTCTTCTTGTTGCTCACAGAAGGAATACTGGATTTCGATACTATTTATATGGTAACCTCAACACTACCGTATGATTCATTTAATTTTGAACTCATTACACAGGGGTAAATGAGACCAAAATTCAATCCACTGTGCCTAGAAGGGTTGTTCCCAGCAAAGACTTTCTGAAAATAATATGCAGTTGTTCAAGACATTCGAAAATAACCTACATTTCTATTATGGTTGCCTGAGACACTGATCCTTGCAAGAAAACCCATGTGTAATAGAACATCAGGAAATACTGTTTCTTGCTAAGTTCAGGTTGTTCCTAAAACCCGAAGGGAAGCCGTCTTGACAAAGTGTCCATGAACTATGGGGTATCATTCTAACATTTAAGTGGGCCTGGGGAGTGATTCATGTGTTCGTGTGCATATGACCCTGTCCAACAACCAGCACCCCTTCACTTTAACACAGGTTATTCACATTCCTGGAAGTGCAATTCTTGGATGGGGTCAATACATGTAGAGCTGCTATGTTGTTTCAGTTACTGAGAAAGACATCATACTCAAGGCAGGCTAAGTAAATAGTAGCCTTCTTTCTGGAGAAAATTTACAGAATTTTAGCAGTTTTCATTTGGCCCATTTCTCTTTCATGTCCATGGAGTATATCCAAACCATGGCCCACTTCATCCAAATTCCCAAATAAGAAGAATGCTATTATTTATGGGGAAAAGGGTGCATCTACACATGTCCCAATGGCACCGTTGTTACTGCACCATCGTTTAGTACTTCCTTTTGGAAGTACTAATTGATAGCACAGTAACAGCCCATACTGCGCCGTGCACGCAACACATGGTTGTTTTTAGCTGCTACATCGCTGTAGCAATGCAGTATATTGAGGGACTGCAGTGCCACAGTGACGTAGTTGCAGCAGTTTTCATGTTGCCCATTTCTCTTAGGGTCACGTTTTTTGTGTGCGGATGGTACGTCACCCTAGGACATTGCTACAGTGACATAGCATCATGTGGAGATACACCCACAAATTAGTAAAATAGAAAGCATGTATCAGCAGAGTCCTGGTAGCACTCTCTTGTCCCCCTTAAGAAAGAAAGATTACCATGCTTCAGAGATTTTCTGTAACTTAATAAAGACCAAAACACCCTCATATATTCAGATACTAGTAAAGAGACAATGGAAGAATAAAAAGTTTACATTGTAAATTTAAATGACTTTCTCAAATGGACTCAAATGAGTAGGAAGCAAGAGGTCCACGTAGCACTTACCCCAGCAGTATACCTAATGATATACTAAGAGTGGTGTATTTCTCCTTCTTTGGGACCCAGCAGCTGCATTTAAGGAGCAGGTCCTGAATAAAGTTGAGATCCAAATCCTTTACCCACAAAGCATCTCACTGCTCAGACAGAACAACCCATGAAACCGTTGAGGACCTTGAAATTTGTTCCCTCCCACCCAGATGCCCTCACATCCTATTTCACTAGGATGAGCCGATTTACCCTGCTAAATGCACCTTTCCCAACTGTTTGACATTCTGTCACATACCCAATAAAAAAGGGCCATACAAGTATGTGTCACCCCTTGAGCAACCCTAATAAGTCCAACGTGGCTCTACAACATCGGAGTTGGTGCAGAATCT